ATTTCCTGCTCCACCTCCATTCTCAATTCTTGACACACAAAACTGATAGCCATTATGAACCCATATTGGAATTGCAAAAGAGAGGCATGCTAGATGAAATACATGTTACAATTCACTCAAAAAAGAATTAATAGTAATATTTGAGGAAACAAGACGTCACAAGGCATAAAACAATGGTATCCGAGCACATTACCATTTGCAAAAATAATATTAATAAATGCAAAATAAATGAATAGATATGCATGTCCATGGGAGCGGAGCACCTGGCTGGCTCCTGGCTAAAACCAGAGGCAAGCCAGGAAGGAGCAACTTTGGTCCATTTGCAAAAAGATAAATAAATGTGGGCAAGTGAGAATGCATGGCTGGACTTCTTCAGTATTTGCAACAATAAGCATCATGGGTAATACTAACCCTAATGGAAGGGATTAAAATGCAATTGTAGCCACAAAATGAGACATAGTTGTTACATACCAGATGCAATCTTTACCCGATACTATCTTTACAAAATAACCACTAAATGCAAAAAAAGACTGACGCAGATACTTCAAGATTAAAATTTTATTACAAAATTATTATTGAATTGTAGATTACTTCACTCCAAAACTGATCAAAATGGATCACTAGCACTTTGGAATTGTTCATACTTACATGGTATTAAAAAGAAAGAAAACCATAGAGCATGTTGAACGTATATCTAAGTTATTACCAACAATAATTGATTCATCTAAAGAGTTATCTATATATATCACGTTCTTCACATGTATAAGTCATAATGGATATATATTGTCAGTTCCCTTATTATGATGATGGTGATGACGATGATGATGATGATGATGATGATGATGACAAAATAATAATAATAGTGATATGAATTGTAATAGTAATAGTGATAATAATAATAATAATAATAATAATAATAATAATAAATACTCTCTCCATCCCTAGCTACGTTTTTGCCTGTTCTTGGCACAATTATTACAAAAGTGGTGTGTTGAGATTTATTTAGAAAGAGGGAAAAATTATAACCCATTTTTTAGCACTATTAAGTTTGCTACAATGTAGTATTTGTGCAATGTACTGAAAAACATAGAGTCAATTCCCCCACACGGGTCCAATTTGGGAGAGCCACAATGATGTCACTGGAGCACGGGGTTTTTTGCCCGACCAACACAATTGTTTTCATAAAGGGTAATGGGAGAACAATTTCAAAAACTAGGAAGCCATATGAAACAGCACCGCAGTTTTTTGACATTTAAATTGGATGTCATATTCTGGCATTGAGTACCTACAGTGTTCCTATCAAAAAGTTGATGGTCCCTAGCCCCTAGAAACACCCCCCCCCCCCCGGTTTGGCCCAGCCCTAATGCACTCCTCCTAATTGCACCCCTAAGTTTTTGCTTTGGAGTCAAAAATGAACGCAAAGTCAACATAATTTAGGAGTGCAATTTGCAGGGGTGCATAAGGGCCAGGCCAGACGGAGTGTCGGGGGTTGGAACCATCAAATGTTTTTATTGAAGTGCACCCAAATTGCCTCAATTGAAATAATGCCAAAATATGACATTGAAACTCATGTTAAAAGATCCATGCCGTTGAAACATAGGGAGTAAAATGCAGACCTGAAAAGACATGTCAGTGTTACCTTAGGAACGAAAGAGGCGAGCCAACACAAGTGCTTAGCATCCAAGCTATAAATCCATACTGCATAAATGTTAAGAATTTAAGATTATTGAAGATATAAGCATAAGATAAATTCATTTGTCACTTGAGGTACGGAGAGACAATAGACTTGAAGTGAAGCAGTAGGCATGAATCCTAATGGAAAAAGCCAAGTATTCATGAAAAAGTAAACTATTACACAATGCCATTTTGGATATCATAGCATCCATCTTAATAACGATTTTGAATTAAATGTTCTGGACATGTAAATAGAATGAACAATGGTTTACCAACTTTGGTTGTCACATAAATACACAAATAGGAAGCCAAAAAATAAGAAAGAGACAACACAAAATGTAGAAAATTTTATAAAAGCATGATGAGGAGGGATTGAAAGGAAAAATACGTTGCATGGCTTCGAAGTCATGGCTAGCTCTTCCAGTTGAAGAGACCAAAGGAACGCCAGTATTGAACATATGACAGGAGACAAAAGCAACACCACAATGCCAAATTCAAACTGCAGAAATAGTTTGAAACAATTGAAAAAATCAAACTTAATTTATATACAAAACTTTACTGAAACACAAGTTAACTTTCATGCCTGTTGGTGTGCCGCATTTATAAGGTTTATAGGCTCTGGACGAAAAAAACTCCAACAACCACGGTATCAAGGATGAACACTAAGTTCAAGATCTCCTTGTCTTGCCTTCCTCTTTAACATCGATGTAATTCTGGGATCATTCAACTTTTCCTGGAAAGAAAGTGTCAAATTCAAGTCAAGCATCTGCTGATTTATTGGAGCTGATGCACTGGACTCACATCCTTGGTTTTCAATGCAGCTACTTGAGCATACTGGCAGAGAATTACGATCAAAGTTCTTGTCAACACATGTTGAGCTGCCTACTTCGGGTTCTCGAGCTACTGATCTGCATGAACTACTACGGATTGCTAAACTGGGCCTTCCACTATCCATACTCTTATCACTGTTGATTCCCTCAATAGTATTGTAGCTGCTAACATCACCAGTGTAAGATACAGGAGCATTAGCAAGATGACCAGCATCTGCACTACTACTACGTTTCACACTGGATCCACAACCCTCGGAAGAACTAGCAGAACTACTATGATCTTTTCTGCGGAAACCATTTCTAAGGCGAATAACAGTACTGTGCAGAGCATCTCTTCTCGCCACTGATGGATCTGTAGTAGACAAGTGGCGTGAAACAACAGCACATAGAAGCACAGAGGCGACAACAACATAACTAGTGCAATGTCCCAAATACCTACAAACAAAAGGAACGGAGCAGCACAACACTTAACAAATAGCTAGTGCAATACAAGCAATAAGAATACATATATTCCTTGGAGCCTTTAACAAACCAGTAATGAACTCCAAAACATATGAGGA